CACACACACACACACACACACACACACATACACCATGTCCCAGCCCGGACAAGCTGGCATTCAGCCAGTACTCTGCTAGGAACCATCATTTCCTTTCCCACACAGCCCAAAGGCTGCTCCTTCAGGGGCAGGCTAAAAGGTAGAAGGGTGGAGTGCAGTTGGTAAACTGAGGGAAAAACACTTCAACAGTTTCACTTAAGTAACAACTATAGTAGAGCTTTGATTAAAAACCTACATGAGTCAAGCACAGTAGTGCATGCCTGTAATCCCAGTGGCTCAGGAGTCTGAGACAGGAGGATCACGAGTTCAAAGCCAGCCTCAGCAAAAGTGAGGCACTAGGCAACTTGGTGAGACCCTGTTTCTAAATAAAATATAAAATAGGGCTGGGGATGGGGCTCAGTGGTTGAGTGCCCCTGAGTTCAATCCATGGTATCCCTCCACCCCCCAAAAAAAGAACCTCATGAGGAAAATAAAGTCTCATGAGGGCCAGGTGTGGTGGTGCATCCTGTAATTCCAGCCCTCGGGAAGATGAGGCAGGAGGATGGCTAGTTCTAGGCCAGCCTCAGCAGGCCCTAAGTAACTAAGCAACTTAGCAAGACCCTGTCTCAAAATAAAAAATATAAATGGCTGGGGATATAGCTCAGTGGTTAAGCACCACCTGTGTTCAATCCCTATACTGAGAAAAAAACAAAAGCAAAATCTAAAAGAACCTAATGAGGTCTGGGAGTGGTGGTGCATTTCTGTAATTCTAGCAACTCTGGAGGCTGAGGGAGGAGAATTGCAAGTTTGAGGACAGCCTTTGCAATTTAGCAAGGCCCTAAGCAACTTAGGAAGACCCAGGCTCAAAAAAATTTTTTTAAAGAAGGACTAGGGATGTAGTAGTTCAGCAGTTTACCCTTGGGTTTAATTCCTAGTACCAACAACTTAGAGATTCTGTCTCAAAAATATTTTTTTAAGTTTTTTTTTAAATTTTATTTATTTTTTTGGTTTTCAGCAGACACAACATCTTTGTTTCTATGTAGTGCTGAGGATTGAACCCGAGCCACACACATGCCAAGCAAGAGCACTACTGCTTGAGCCACATCCCCAGCCCCAAAAGAAAATATTTTTAAAAGGGTTGGGGTGGCTAGGCATGGTGGCACATGCCGGTAATCCCAGTGGCTCAGGAAGCTGAGGCAGGAGGATCAATCGCAAGTTCAAAGCCAGCCTCAGCAAATTAGTGAGGACCTAAGCAACTTAGCAAGACCATGTCTCAAAATAAAATATAAAAAGGGCTGGGGATGTGGATCAGTGGTTAAGTGCCCCTGAGTTCAATCTGTGGTACCAAAAAAAAAAAAAAGGTTGGGTGTAGTTGAGTGGTAGAGTGCTTGCCTAGCGTATGTGAGGCCCTGGGTTCCATCCCCAACACCCCTACAAAAAAAGAAAAAAATGGTTGATAGGAAGCCAATACCTATTTATCCTGCACCAGAAACATTCAAATAACTTTTGCAAACATGATGCCATTGAATTCTCTCTAGGTGATAAAAGGAATCATTGTTTCCCACTTTATAGAGGGAGAAACTGAGGCTCTGAGAAAATGTCAACAGAAAGACAGCTAAGACAATCATTGACCCCAAGTCTCCTGACCTGGAAAATCAAGGATGGTCAAAGCTTGGATGTGAAGATTAAATCCAACTCCCCCAGTTTTACAGATGGGCAAACTAAAGCTCAAAAAGAGAGAGAGTGGTAGAGCATGTGCTTAGCATGTGTGAGGGCCCTGGGTTGGATCTCTAACACCACAAAGAAAATAAAGAGATCATTCATCTAACCTTTCTGATTTTATAGAAAACGTGAGTGTAATTGTGCAGCTCCCAACACAGGATCTGCACTCACCCAAGTGTGGTCATGGTGACAATGGTATACCAGAAGGCCGCAGGGATGCTGGTAAAGTTGGTCTTGCTGGTGCCCTTCTCAGCATAGAACATGACAGTGGCAAAGATGATGATGGCCATGGTGAGGGAAAAGAGGAGAAAGCCCAGCTCAGAGGCACAGCTCTTGAGTGTATAGCCCAGAATCCGCAAACCCTGGGAGTGCCTGGAGAACTTGAAAATGCGGAAAACACGGAACACACGCAGGGTGACAAATGCACCCGAGACATCATCGTTCTTGGGCACAAAAAGCCCAATGTAATAGGGCAGAATGGCCACCACATCGATGAGGCTCATGACACTCCGCAGGAAGCGGCAACGGCTAGGGGCAGCAAAAAGCCTCAGGAGGTATTCTCCCGTGAATATGAGTACACAGGCCGTGTCCATGCAGAAAAAGGCTGTCGGAAATCGGTCACCACAGGGCTGCTCCCTTGGTGGCCGCCGTGCAGGGCCGCGGCACGGGATGGTCTCCACCACATTGGCGATGACCGACACTGCGATGAAAAAGCCAGTCACATAGTAGAAAACCAGCGCTGCAGTGCTAGTGTGTGGGTTCTCGAAGGCCCTCCAGAGCCGTTGCCGCAGGGAGCTGCCCGCTGGCAGGGCAGGCCCATCCCCGGCCTGCTCAGCCTCCTCGTCCTCAGCCAGGCGCTCAGCATTCTCCTTTTTGCGGTCCCGGTACTCTTCAAGGCAGCAGTCGCCCACAAGCTCGGGGACCAGGCCATAGAAGGCCAGCTCTTCGTCGAAGGCCTGGATGCATTCCTGGCGTGGGCAGTGTAGCCGGCCAGTTCGGTAGAAGTTCAGCACATGCCGGAACATATCCGGATCGCGATCAAAGAAATACTCGCCAGAGTCCGCGTCATAGAAGAACTCCTTCTCAGAACTGCCCAGCAATGTGTCTGGGTAGCGATCCAGTGTGTTCTTCCAGGTCTCGAAGCGCCGGCCGCTGACGTTCACCACCAGAACCTCATCCCCTCGAGATGCCTTCACCCCTGGCGCTGGGGGCAGGGGCTGCTGGGCAAGGGGCAGCCAGCCCACAGCGGCCGCCCGTGCAAAGGGCAACCACGTGGCCACGCCTGCAGCCATCCTGCGGCTCCACAGGCCCACGGAGACTTGGGGGGGGGTGGCGTTTAGGAGAATGTGGCTGTCTCCAGGATGGTGGGGGCTTGGAGAGGCCCTGGGCCACCCGGACAAGGAAACTGGGGGTGTCTAGAGAGGCCAAGAGGAACGAGGAGGAGGAACTAGAGAGATGGGCAGGAGCTTAGGGGGCATTTAGAGGGTCTAGGAGGGGCCCTTATGGTGTCCTGAGGGACTAATAAGGGCTTAAGGAGATCAGAGAGGACAAGAAGGATCCCCAGGATCTTTAGAGAGAGATGATTCTAGTGGGGTCAGCATGTGCCTGAGAGATGTTTGGGGGTGTCTAGAGGGACGGAGAAACAAGTGGGGAGCTCTCAACACTCTCAAGAGTTCTCAGGGAAGGAAAAATAGGTCTGGAACCCATTAGCCAGTTTGGAGAGGAAATTGGGGCATCCAGAGGGGGGTACAAATGGGATCAGAGGTGCTTGAAAGAGGCTGAGTGTGCCTGGGGGCTGGTTCTAGAGGGGCTGAGAAAGGTGAGGAGGGTCATCCACACCCTCAAGACTTCTAGGGTAAAGATAAGGGGGTTGAAGCACCCTCATGGATCTGAAAAGGGGCTGGTGCTTCTCAAGGGTGGCTGTAGAGCCAGGAGGTTGTAAAGAGGCTGAAAAGTGTCTTGGGAGTGCCTAGAGCTGCCAAGAATAGCCTGGGGGTGTTGTCTACATATTACAGGAGTTCTAGGGAAAGCAGAAGAAGTGAGGGCCCCCTAGTGGGGCTGGAAATGGAATGGGGTAGCTAAAGAGGTAGTTATGGGACTGGATTATTTTGTAAGAGGACTGTAGATATCTGGGTGAGGGGGATATCTAAAGGGGCAGAGGAAGCCTGGTCCACACTCTGAAGAGTTCTGGGAGAAGAGAAGAGGGGCCTGGGGAACCCTAAGGTGCTGGGATTCAACCGGACTGAAGTTGGGCACAAGGATTTCCCCAAAAATGGGTTGGAGAGAACAGTGGGGGTGTTGAAAGGGAGTTGGGTGTGTCTCCAGGGAGGTGGGGGCTGCTGAACCTTGCAGGAGACAGGCAGGAGAGGCTGGAGAAGGCTGGGTCCCACCGATGGGGGCAGGTCTGGGGAAACCACACCCCGAGGGGCTGGCGGTGTGTGCTAGACAGCAGCAGCAGCAGCAGCAGCAGCAGCAACGGCGGCGGCGGCGGCGGCGGCGGCGGCGGCGGCGGCAGGAGAAGGAGGAGGAGGAGGAGGAGGAAGAAAGGCAGCCACAGCCAGGCCTAGGAGGGAAGGCGGCACAGGCAGGGGAGGGGGTTGGGTCCCTGGAAGGAGGCTGTGGAAGGACAAGGTCCAGTGGGATCCCTGGGGACTGTCCCAAGATGGGTTAGGGTGTGGGGGCTGGACCAGGGAAGGACAAGGACAGTGCTTGGCGGCCCCCTCCCACTCCCCATAGGGCGTCCTCACCTGTGTCCCCGCTGCAGCAGCAGCAACGGCGATGGGGCTGGGGGTACCAAACGCCGGAGCTGCTGGCCCCCTCTGCAGAGCTGCCAGAGTTCTCCTCCTCCTCCTCCTCCTCCTCCTCCTCCTCCTCCTCCTCCTCCTCCGGCTCTCTCCCCGCCCCTCTGAGCTTGCCGGGAGATGGAAAGGCAGGGAGGGGCCTCGTGGCTCCCAGAGCCCCCTCCCCTAGGGCAGACTGAGAGGGACCCTGGGGAGACTCCGCCTCCTACAAAGCTGGTTGGGCCTCAGTCGCGTCATCTGGAAAATGGGGGTGGCAGGGAGCTTTGCCAGTTCTCCCCACCTCCTTCCTGGACTCCCCCCCTCTTCCTGCCCAGTTCCTACCCCCTCTACCCCCAGGGGCCCCCACCCCCACCCGCCTGAATCAGCAGCACTTAGCTGATCCGATCGATGGGGAGGCGTCTGTTAATGGCCCCAGAGCGGAGTGCCATGGGGAATGATGCAGCGCTGTGTCCCCTCCCTGCCCCCCAGGCTCTGGAAGGGCAGGAGAAACTGGGGTGCGAGGGTTATTGGTGGGGGCTGTCTCTCTCCAGATGGACAGGTCTTTAAAGCCACCCCCTAGGAGTGTGCCACAGCCCCAATTTTAAACTTCCATCATGGGACTGGAGCATGAATCTTCCACTGTCTTGCGATATGAAATGTGGGGTACAGGGAGTGCAGACAGGGACAATTCAGGCCCCACCCCCCAGTCCAGGCAGGTTTCACGCCAAGGGGGCAGGAGCCCTTATCTGTGCACATCCAGTGACTGCAAATCACATCACATCCTCTAGAGGGCTCTGCTCCTGGGCGGCAGGAGCACAGAGTATGAAGTCTATGGCAGGCATAGGTGGGTTCAAACTCAAAACTTTGCCACATTTGCTATGCCCTTGAGAAATGCCTTGCATTGTTTCTTTGGCTGTCAGAATGGAGTTATCCCTACTTGACAGTGTTATTTGGAGCATTAATTGAAATGATATGAAAGGGGATGGCACAGATGATTTCTAATCTTAGGTAACTAAAATTGTGTGATGAGGGCACAGTAACTCAGTGTAGCCTTTCAATCAATTTACCAACCCATTGAATTCCTCCATTTGCTCACTTATCACACTCTTGATTTGTCCACCCTCCCATCTACATAAGCAATCACTCTACCCACCCCTCCACCTATTTAGCCATTAATCCACCAACCCACTTGCTCATCCATCTGTATGTTCACCCTATCCAACTATTCACCAACCTATCCATATGTATCAGTATCCATTCATCTGTCCAATCACTCATCACTTATGCACCCACTCTTTACCCTCCCTATTCGTTAGCTTATCCATCCATACAGTCCCTTATTCATCCATGAGTTTATTCCCAACCTGTTCATAAATCCAACCATCCAGCTACATACCCAATTCATCCACTCAACCATTTGTCCATCTATACATCATCTGTCCATTTATATATCCACTTACCCATTCTCTAGCTATCCACTTACTGATCCATCTATCCATTTATTCATCCGCCAATCCACCCATCCATTTCCCAACTTAGCCAAAATTGATCCATGCAAACTTCCACTTATTTATCATCAGTCCATCCAACCACTTATCCATCCTCCCATCTGTCCACTGATCTATACCACAACCCCAGGCACATCTACCCACATAATTATATCTGCAGATATTTATACTCCACTTAGTTTGAGAGGTTGGTCAGGTGACAAGTGAGTTGAGGTTGGAGGAAAGAATAAAGTTGCAGTCATAGAACTCCCTCCCCAATGCAACAGAGTGACCTTCTGACCCCCAGAACACCCCCCTTGATTGAAAAAAAAATGAGACCAGACAGTCAGTGGGGGGCCCGTCTGGCCAGATGGTATTTTGGCTGCACAGCCTTTATACACACACACACGCGCACGCACACATACACGTTGCTAGAACGCTGAACACAGACCGCACCCCCACCCAACACCCCCAATCCCAAGTGCAGAGTAGTCAGGCTTTCAAACATAAATTAAAAATAAAATAAAATTTAAAAGTGTTGGTCTCTGGGAGGGAGAGCTCATGCAGAGATGGAGGCAGATGTCCCTGGGAGCCTGGGCCAAGGAGAAATCCCTACCCCTTCCCTGGGGATTCCCACTCCCCGGGGGGGGGGGGGGGGCGGGGGCTCTGCCTTGACCAGGTCATTAACACCAGCCATCAGGCCTCTAGCCCCTTTAATGTCCAGTCTCCCAAACTACTAGATTTTGGTGTCAGCCCCCATTTCCCTCCATAGCCCAAGGGAGTAGCATCCTGGGAGGTGACAAGGGGAGGGAGTGGATGCAGCCTGCAGGTCTTTAGCTGGATTCTCCAGGCTCTAGGTCTGGGTCAGGTGACCCCACACACTCCTTGCTGAGTCGTACAATTTCCTGGGACAGAACTTCCATGTCCTAAGAAACAAAAAAGCCATAATGGGCCAGAGAAGTAGGTAGGGGAGGCTCCTTCATTTCCAATGGTGTCTGGCCTGGTTTGGGAAGGTTCTTGGAGTTCACAGAGCCTTAAACAGAAGGCTGGGCATGGAGAAGATGGGAGCTAAGGAGATGTAGTGGGTCACCTGCTGTGGCCCAGTGCTGCCAGAGAATATAATTGTCACCCTCACCACCTTGTCTTCTATTAAATGTGAACTTGCTTCTCCAAGGTAGGAGCTAGGTCTGACTCCTTTATGAATCCCCCAGAGATGGGGGGAATATTTGGGTGAGAGAGATGGGCCAATGGACATGTAGGTAAACACATCAGGGATCTATGGCAGGCAAACAGGTGCACAAATGCATTGTAAAGAGGCCATAGGGAGAACAACAGGTAGGGAGGCAAGTCATCTGGTAGGTTGGCAAGGTAAGACAATGGGTGAGTGAGGAAAGAGAAGGATAGGTCAGGAAATGGTTGGAAGACCTGGGAAAGATGATTAGGTAGATGAAAGATGGGAGCATGAAAGGGTGGTATATATAAGAATAGGAGAATGGCTGGGAGGACAAAGTCTGGGTAAGTGACTACAGGGACTGGCAGAAGACCTGGGGCTCTGTGGCTAGGGAGACATGTGGTTAGATAGATGGGGAGGCTAGTAGGCTACACTCGCCTTGTGCAAGTGCATATTCTTGGTGAGCTGCTCCTCCAGCATGTTCTGCAGCTTCTTGTTCATCTCCCGAAGGTTCTCGTCTCCTGGCTTCACTAGGTCTCTCAGGACGCTGCCCAGCCCGCTGCGGTCTGTGTGGCCTGCTGCCACAGACACATCTGCAAGGGCCCAAGCTGAGCACTACCCCCTCGGCAAAGCCGGAGGAGAGATGGGCAAAGCCAGAGGTGAAAAGAGGGGAACAGAGCAGAGGAGAGGGAAGGGAGAGAAGCCATGTTATGTAGGGGGGTGGAGATTTTGACATGTGAAACCAAGTTTTGTCACTTACTAGCGATGTGACCCTAAAAATGGGGATAAATATCTAAATCATAGAATGCAAATTATAGAGCACACAGTAAACCCTCAGCACATGCCAGTAGGTATTGTTCTGCTAAGGAAAAATCAGGGGGAGAAGAAGGTTTGAAAGAAGGAGCAAAAGAAATAAAGACAGAAAGGAAGAGCAAAGGGGAGAGAAGGTAGGAGACAGGTGGGAGAGGAAGAGAGGGTGAGGAAGGAGGGAGAAGAGATCAGAACCTCAAAAAGAATAAAAAGTACAGAGAATTAAAATTTGTGGAGGCAGAACAATATAGCCAGTAAGAGAAGGTGAAGGAGAGGGGTCAGAAAAAAAAAAAGATACAAGAAGGGAGAGAGAGGAGGAAGCTGAGACATGGTGAAAAGAAAGGAGACAGAAGACATTAGAAGCACATTAGAGGAATGGGGAGTAAAGGAATGACAGGCACACAGAAAAGGGGAGGAAGAAAGATAAAAAGACAGTTTCCTTGCTATCCTCTCCATGGGTTGTAATTTTGTTAATAGATGCACTGAGTTCCAAGAAGAGAAAAGCCACAGCATACATGGAAAATGAGTAAAGTAGTACTTGGAGAGCCAAGTAAAGGCTGGATGGCAAGGGGTGAGGACACGGAAGGGGGCACTGACCGATCCGGCTGTCCATGACGTAGGTCTCAATGATGGCGCTTTTCCGGCAGAGGTCCTCTGCCATGGAAGCACTGCTCACCTCCAGGTGCTTCACCTACAAAATAGCCCAGCCCATATCAAACCCCTCAACTGCACATGATCACCCATGAGGAGAGGAGGAGGGCCTGACCAGAACCCTTCCTCACTGCCCGGCCAAGAGCACTTCAAATGGGGATAAGCAGAGAGACAGACAGTACCTTCTCCTCTAGCATCCATTTCTCCTGCTGTGTTTCTGCCAGCCGTTGAAAGAGCTCAGCCACTTCCTCATCTGATAGCTCAGCTGGCCGAGGGGGCTGGGCCTGAGGGCTACTGGATAAGGACTGCAAGGAAGAGGAGATAGTGACCAGCCCCAGATTCATCACTGCCCACCCCAGACACAAGTCAGGAGCTGGAGTTGGATGGGAAAGTGTGGGCCCTGTGGCTGGAGCTGTTGGTCAGTCTTGGCACCCTCAGAAACTCTGTGTTCCCCTTGGTCTAAAGGCAGGTAGAGAATAACTACCACATCAGAGCTTTACTGAGAAAATTAAGGGAGATACATTAGTAAATGAGATCTTT